AAAGGTCATGCTGACAACTTCATATTTAAAATAAGGAGATATTTTTCAAGCCAAATAACTTTTGCTTGAATGACTTTATAATAAAATGTAATATGCTGATAATCAGACCTTAGATGCTCACATACTAGTGGATCATTATGCTGTACTATGACCTTCTAGAGCAGAAGTGTTCAGGAAGCGGCTTCTAATCCCTCTTTAGTTAAGGTGATGGTTTTAAGGATGCAGGTCATTGGTGACTGACAGCAGCAGGGAAAACAACACGCACAGCGGCTAGCTCAAGTTCAAAACACACCACTATGCTGGAGTGATGCCAGAACACCGTGAATGGGCTGCCTGCGCCGAATTTCTGAACCCCCTTGTTTTGTTAATAGATATTTTCAGTGTAGTTGATGTGACACGTTTATTTCACATAGTCATTTTATAATGTGGGGGGGGGGGCCTTTAGTGTTTGGGGGATCAGTATTGCAGTTTCTCTATTACACAAGCAAAAGATCCCCAGCTCCATCTTGGGAAAACACACACATCCCTATGGAGTTGCTTCAGGAAAGGCATCTGGTATAAAAACTTGTCAAATCAAACATGCGGGGCTACTTGCTGCGGCGGCCTCTTGTGAGTAAGAGAGCAGTTGAGAGTAGGTCTAAAATAGAAAAGACTGGCAATCTCTTGGTGATGAGATCATATAAATTTATGTGTCCAGGAAAACGCCTCTTTGGGCTCCAGAGCTTTGATGGTAATCAATAAATATTAAAAGCTTCAGCAAACAGGAGGATTGCATAATTGTAATATTGTCTACGCCTGTGCTGTGATGTCTGACTGAAATAGTCAGTTAAAGAAAAAGAAACTGGCTCGTGTGCTTTCTCGCTGAACAGAGGTGAAGGGTGAAATATGCTTCACTCTGCAAGTGGACTTCTTCCAGTTCTTTTCAAGGATCTTTATTTGTTGATGTGTGCATTAAAGGCTATGAATGATTGCTATATCTAGCTACAAAATCATGAAGTTGACAAAAAAAATGAAAAATCCTAAAATTAAAAGAAGAAAACATTTGAAGTGGGGTGTCAAGCATAAGATGTACTATCTTGCATCAAAAAGCCAAAAATAACAGGAAATACGAGCAGACCTCTGACTGTACGTAGTTGTGTCATGTGACCTGCTGGCTTTACCTGGTGCATTTCCTACTGGACCTGATTTTCGTTTATTATTAAAAAGAATTCCAAGAGCTTTTGAAAGATTCTCTCTGGCTGTGCGTGTTTCTCTTGTTTGTACAGTACCTTCTAATCTCAGCACGTCTCAAACATTTCATCACTCTGAGGGGGACAGTTCTTCTGCTTTTGCTGTTAAATGCTGTTTGATGACCAACATTAAGGTGCATTACCATGATCTTCCTATGCATTAAATCTACCAGGTGAATATTTGCATTCAGGGCTTCAGATTTCACATGAACTTTGATTGTGATTGTGAGAAACTCTAACTGCTGGGCCGAAACAGTTTTTAACAACTCCTTTGTGTTTCCGTCTTGTCATGAGCACCAGCTCATGACGAGATGGAAATGCATGCATGTTATGAAGCAACAGCTTCAGCTGTTTTGCAATTCTGCACTTTAATGCAGTGCAGATTTGTTCTCTCCTTCATAGTTTAACATTCATAAGACCTGTTGATTAAATGCTAGTTTAAAATGCCAGTGTGCACAGTACTGACCTCTGCTTGTCCTTTCCTCCTCTTTTTTTTCCCCCCCCACCATCCCTTTTCTCTTCTTCTTCTCCTCCCTTGCTGAACTACTCTTAATTACATTCCACATCTTCACCTTATCTGCTCTTTTGTTCCTCCTCCTCTTCCTCCTTCTCCTCCTCCAGGGGGATGCCCGGGGCCAACAGGTGGCAGAGCGCCTCGGTCTGGGACACAACCTGGACCTGTCGGACACCATGGTCCAACAAAAGCTGGATGAGATCAAGGAGCAGATCCGCCGTGAGATCCGTAAGGAACTAAAGATCAAAGAGGGTGCAGAGAACCTGCGAAAGGTAATGTCACAGATATAGTATAGTATCTGCTGTTTCCCTCAAAATGTCTAAATCTAAATATATTATGCAGTTTTCTCTATCTCTCCCATGTCTAATAACATCACATTTATGATTAAGTTAATGGAGATGCTTTTCAAGGCTTTAAGGTGGTCTCCTCTCATTTTTCCGCCTCTCAGGTCACCACAGATAAGAAGAGCCTGGCTTACGTTGACAACATGCTGAAAAAATCTAACAAAAAGGTCGAGGAGCTTCATCAGGAGCTACAAGAACTTAACGCCCACATTGTGGTAAAAGACCCCGAAGAAGTGCTAGGTAATTACACAAGCGCTAAAGGAGGGCAGGGTCAGATTCAATAGATGGTACCAAAGTAGGAAGGGGTTAATATAAGTAGTCAAATAATTAACCATCAGAAAAATAATGTTCCCACCTAAGTTTTTGTACAGCCACTTAAGTAAATGTAATAATGGCATGCAAAGATTAGCCTTCATACAATGAATATTTTCGATGTTAAACGTCCTGTTAGTCTGTCATAACTTCATAATTACAAAAGCTGCCTACCTCAGGTTTACAGGGCCGAAACTCTCATTTAAGCTTTGGTAAAAACTGTAACCAAATCAATACACCCATGTGTCACCACCATCAGATGGACAGCGTCTTTTTGAAATCAAATACCTGATGTTAAGTTTACTTTAAGCTTCACATACAGTTTTTCATATACACACAGTGTTTGTTTAATTGTCTTATATGGCCGAAAACTCGCTGAATAATTAGCAGATGAAGCACTGATGAAAATAAACTTTAGCTCCAGTCCTAATTGGCTTGTTGCAAATGACAGCACAGTCCAGGAGTCATGGTCTTGGACACATATTTTTCTATATTAAAGTCTTATTATGAAGCTCTGTTTCTTTATATCTTAATGTGTTCACATTTATTGTTGTCTTGTTTGCAGTCATAATCGTATGCTGGCATTCTTGTTTGCAGCCAGTGTTTTTAAAAGCTAAATTCATTCTCAGCTATGAGTTTATCCAGGTCACATAAGGCAACAGGCCACTCTTCCAGTTAATGTATGTGTAGCAGTCTTATGGTTTAGCTGTAAATGCACAGCACCAAATAATTTTGTCTCTTTTGTGTCAGACGAGCACCTATGTAAACACACACAGAGCACATTCAGTGTTTGGAGGTGACTCACTCTCCAGAGGCTGACATTGTTGCATTCCACATTCCCGTGGCAGTTACAATGAGCTGTCGATTGTTCCTCTCCGAGGCTGTTGAAAGCCTGCTCCTTTGCATTTGTTGACAACAGTGGAATTTGGAGAGAGTGGACCACAGCAGCATCTGTGCATTCAGTGCGCTTTTTGTCACAGTAGCTGCCTTTTAGGGTAGCTGTTGGTGGCAAATGTCTGCGCAAATTCAGGAAGAGAAGGAATGGTATTTGTCTGCCTGTCGCCGTCACGTTGTCCTGGCTCATTTGACAATAGGAAGTTGATGAAGAGGGATGTGTGAGTGTGTGTATTTGTTTGCTGGAGGAGGGAAGGGAAGTTGTCTTGTTAAATGGTTATCTTAAGTGAAAATAAATTTAGCCTGACTCTGTGACCTATCTGGTGAATAAGGGCTTTCTTTTTAAGTGACGCGAGGCCAGTGGAATGTCGCTGGCCATCGCAAAAACGGTCAAGAGGGACTGAGTGCAATTCAGCTCCTTAGACATGAGACAGCTTCTTGAAATATGTTCAGCTCTTGTTTCCTGAATTAGCAGGAAGGAGTTGCTCTGTCTCTCCGAGCAGCCCAGAATGTGTTTCTGTTCCAGGAGAAAGTTGAGGGGGCTCTGGTTATTCTCCACCACTCAGCTGAGGAGGCCAGAAATGGACTGACTCGCACTCAGGCGCTCTGTGTGAGCAGTAGGGGACACCAGTCAGGTCCCTCTGTCACATATGATCTCATTCATAAAGAAAACTAACCCCAACATCGTTTGTTATTAAGTCCCAATCTGTTTGCCTACCGCTCATCACACACAGGTTTAAGGTTCCCACTCACAATGTACTAGTTTAGACGGTGTAAGCATGTCTCATTGCCTTCTCATCAGATGCAGATGGGATTAATCTGAGGGAGGGTTCCCCTTGTCGATTGTCCAGCAGTGACATCAGCCCTGCAGCTATCTTGTCCTACGGCCCAGCAGGGACTAGATCACTCTTGGAAGAGGCGGGGGTTGTAGTCCTTGAATTCTTGGCTCGATGCGACCTCAGCCAAACCGCACCCCCAGGCGAAGAGGAAAGCCCCAGACATGTACTAGATGACACAAGCAGCACTTCTGCATGTGTCTTTTTAAATAGATGTCCTGTGACAGTTTTGCCCCGAGCACCTCTAAAATTCTCACCTTGCTCCACAGGCTTTTCTGCAAATACTCTGCTTTTCTTGTCTAGCCCTACCTCTTCAAGTGTGTCACCATATCAAAGCGTTACCCTGGAAGGACTAGCATCCTCCCCTCCTCCACATTAACAGAAAACTCAGCAGTGAAGCGCTCTCTCAGCTTATTAAGTCTCATTAGATGAATCATTTAGACTTTTAGTTCAAAGAATAAGTTACTTCCTTTTTGCCTGTATCCCGCAGGTGCTCAAAGGAATCGTTAGAGGGTGTTTTGATGAAGCATCGGACTGAATGAATCACAGACCTGCCTGCTGGTTATTGTTATCTGCATCTGGCTTTGTCTCAGAGTACAACGCCGTTTCTTTGCCAGTGTTATTTTGGGTCTTGACACCTTCAGTGAACTGTTGGTCTTTGGTTATGTCATGTGACATGTTTTGTGTCTTTGGATTTGGAAAACTCACTAAAAAACAGAGCTGAGCTTAAAGGCTAGAAGTTAAATACATGATGAAGTTTACTATGTTAAAGGACCTTGCAACAGATTGGAAGGGTTCATGCTTCAGATGTGGGCTCACTTAAAGAATGCTCTGACTCTTTTCTAAGACTACTGGCTTTATGAAAACATAGCTTCTGAAACTCAACTTGCAAGTCAAGTCAGGAGAAGTCGGGCAGGTTTTTTTGCCCACCTCACCCGTGTGTGTGAGAGTGAATGTTCTGTTCTGCTTTCGGCTGCAATGATCAGCTTGGAGAGGTTTTTTTAAATGTATTTATTTATTTATTTTTTACCTGCACCTTTCAAGTTCAGACTTGACCAAAAAACACAACAAAACAGTGAACCTATCCACCAGGTCTGTGGTCCATCTCTGAGAGTAGACAACAGTGGGTTTAAGTATCTGTGTGTGTTTGCCTGTGTGCATTAATGTATAAAAGGAAAAACAAATAAATGTCTACAGATCTATGGACAGATTATTGTTTAGTCTTTGCAGCCTGTGGGATCTGGACATAGATCATTTTTAAAAGTTGATATTCTGTTACATGTACCTTTTTTACTTTGCATAAACAGTATAGGCACTAGTACTGGCAATCATCTGCATGTTCACGCTTGTGTGTTGTTCCTTTTTTTAAAATGCGTACAATAGAGATGGCCGCAGGGGTTTCCCTGTGCTGTTGGAACAGCGCAGACTTCAGGAGAGAGTCAATGAGCTGAGATCAGAAATGACAGCCTTTCATATTACAACTCCTGAATACCAAAGCATTAAAGCCAAACTCAGACTGAATAATTGTGGCTTCACATTTGAAGGATTTCCGTTCTGAGCAAAAACTTGTTTGAAAAATCCACAAAGCTTAGCTGACAATAGATTTCTTAATCCTAATGTTGTTGACTTCTGTAGTAGTTTTTGTGCTGAGTCAAGCATTGTGCTAACAAACCTCATCGAGTCATAAACAGCACACCCTTCTGAGCATGTAAAGTGTTCACTGAAGTTGCAACAGGACCAATTTATAAGCAGTTTATCAATCATTTTGCGGAGCTGCAGGATTGTTTAGCTTAATAAAAAATGGTGCACACATGCTCCGTTAATATTTGTAGCCTCTGTATATTTGTGCCAAATGTAACATGCTTGATGTAATGTCCACAATTGTTTCCAGATGGCCATAAGATGCTAATTTTTTTCCCCTTTCCTCTTCCTTTACCCAGAATGCCCTTTAACACCAGGTACCCCTAACAGCGAAGCAAGAATGTGCACCAGCAGCAACCGACTGGCGGCCTTAAAACGGCAGGTTGACATTGAGCTAAAAGTCAAACAGGGCGCCGAGAACATGATTCAGATGTACTCCAACGGGTCCTCCAAGGTAGGCGAAGGGTTACCCGGAGAGTCAGGCTTGCTCTGGTTCATGTCGGGCACATTCTGATGATACTTTATTTAATGAATAGATTCACTTCTACATAGCTGACTGCTTCTTCTGTTTTAGTCTTTGTTCAGTAAAAATAACAATGCTGAGATCTGGAAGCACAATATTAGCCACAGTTACAAACTATGATGTTGCTGGGTGGTAACATTATTACCTCAAACTAAACATATTGTGTGTTTATACAGTCAACAGGCAGTCAACTTCAAACCAGTTGGCATAGTGCCGTTTTGAGCTGTGTGGGTTTAGCCTGAACCTCATTTAAATTCAACAACTAAAAACAAAATGTTCTGCTCCTGGCAGCTTAAAGAAAGCAAGTAAGCAAAAACACCACCTGTGACTGCAGTAAGAGTGTTTTTGTCATCTCAATCCAGGTGATTTGGATGGCAAATGATTGTGATTCTTTACAGTTTAAAAAAGATGACATATCTTTACTACTTTGGAAAACGAATAAAATGCAACAGTACAGATTCAGCGTTGTAGCCGTCTTCTTGTGAGCTGTCAGCATTTCAGTAGATTGCTTTTCCCCCCCACCACCAAGTGGCTCACTGCCATGATAACAACAGGACCAATTTTCCTGTGAAATGTGTGATTATCACTGATCTGTTAGGAGTTTTCACATATTTACATGTAATTGTGTATTTACTCAGAAAATGACAGCGCGAAGTGTGTCTGCCTTACCTGGACTTTAGCATGCTTCATCACAGTGATGAATGAATTTACTTAAGGGGCTCACTACTCTTAAAAAATCCTTGATTCTACAAGTATAAATCTAGCTTAATTAAAAGTCATTATGAACAAATGATGAGGCTTGCTGGTTAATCTGAGTATCTGATTTGACCTTTTTCCAAAACACTACTTAGTGTAATTTTTGTACCGCAGGTTGTCAGAGTTTCCAGACTCATAATCACAAGTGCTTAGACTACTTAAGGTAAAGTCTTTTCAGAAAGGTGCTGTGAGCATAATCGCATGTTAACTGGAGCCGGCTGGCCTGTTGCCATTATGAATACCAGGCTGCTGCATGGCAGGTTTGCTTTTATAGCTTCACTGTAGGGGAGGAGGAAACGGGAGAAGGCGCTGACACATACTGTGTGTCATATACACCGCTGTTTGTTCACAAAGCTCTGTTGGTCCTTGTGTGTCCTCGAATCCTCAGAGTCAGGGAGGACTATAATTTAGTTGGGAGGTGTGCGTTAAGTCACGAAGACCGGTAATAACAGCCGAGAGCCTCTCGTGTTAAGCTCGGCCCTTGTATCCGTCAGTAGTAATTCAAGCCAGTGTGTAGTAGATGGTTTGGTGTAGTCTGGAGTTTCTGGATTGAATTGGAATCATTGGCAAACCCCAAAGAGGGATTAAGCAGAGTCGAAGGAAGATTAGCGGCACTGTAATAACATTATTTCTAACTTTTTTTTGTTATTTTGGGTTTTATTTCCTTAACAAAAACAGACATGGTGCCTTTGGTTTCATGAAACATGCACACCGACTCATTTTGTCACCGTGTGTGTGTAAGTGAATTAAAATCATCCTAACCTGACAGAGTTTGCGCTGCGCTAGCGTACTGCCACTCCCTGGTTTCTCTGAGGAGACACGTTTGCCTAGAGGTGTACCATGCAAAGAGTGGTGGAACTGCTGTCAGAGTGACGCTTAGACTCTAAAGAAGAAAAGAATTCACAGCTGAAGAAAGTGACACAAAAGTGTGTTGAGTTTGAAGCTTGAAAGAGCCGAGTTCTCAGGACTGACCGTGTGTTAGAAATATAAAGGTTGTAGTGTCTGGTAGCAGGTGGAGACCAAGGACCACCTGATCTGTCCATCCAAGATGAGTGGCCCACTGCAATCATAACTGGGAATAACTGCAAAAATGCTGGAATCTAGTGTGATGATAGGTTATTGCCTTTTTAACCAGTGTGTGGTTATATTAATGTCATTTAGGTAAACTGTGTGAATACTTTTATTTTATTGATATTTTTTCATTGAAGAGAGCTGCGTCTGTGTTCATAAACTCTGCTTGAAGCAGTTCTACATTTGTAATGAAGCAAACTGAGGTTAAGGATATTTTGAGGAATCTCATATTTGTGTGTGAATCATGTGGTTTAACTTTGAGTTTGTGAGTACCAACTGTTTGTGAATGAGGCCCCTTGCTTTTACTGTACATAGACAATGTCATGTAATCACCACCCACCAAAAACCGAAAACTCTTCTGCTTTGAAATGATACCATTTAGCTTTTTATTGCAGGATATTGTTAATAAAACTGTTTAGGTGGAGGACACTTGAAATTCTGGTGAGTGTAGTTTGAAAACTGTAATGCAATAAAGCTGTAAATTGATTTGCATTGTCTGGCTTGCTGGGGCGGGTGTAAGCGACCTTTCCCTGTCAGACCGACGGAGGCACCTTCCAGTTGGAACTATTCCTCTCCTGATGTCAGAGAGGAAGTGCCTGTTGAACGGAGGCCTTTCCTGCAAGCGCAGATATCAACAACCAGGATTTAAACTTAACAGGAATTTGGGGTGGAGTTTGCTTACTCCAATGTGTGTTTGCACGTAGGAAAGGTTCAGCAAACACAGCCGTGCACACTTTTTTTTTTCTTTTTTCTTTTTTCTTTGGTGAATAATGGTTTTCCATGTTGTCATTTAGACTTCAAGTCCAATTAACGGCATGAACGGGTGTCTGGGCTTTTTGTGTTACATGCAACAAAACAGGACACGTGCAGAGGGATTAGGTGCATTTAGACAAAATGTTATTGAATCCTCTGATTCGGTCATCAATGGTCTGTAGAGATAAAATACCTCCCTAATGAGCGGTGATGGTTTAATTTCCAATTTTACTCACAGGATCGTAAGTTGCTAGCAGCCGCTCAGCAGATGCTTCAGGACAGCAAGACGAAGATTGAGTTCATCAGGATGCAGATCCTCAAGGCCAGCCAGGCCAGCGAGCTGAGCTTTGAGAACAATGATGTGATGGGTGAGCCTTCCCTTCCTTCAGAGCTTTTTTTTTTTTTTTTTTTTTCTGAGGAGATTAAAACAGAAAGACAGAAACAGTGGTTATAAATCCGATGTCATCAGAATGAATGATTCAAGTGTGACCTTGTACTCCAGAAAAGCCCATCATCAGCCCTTTAGACCTGCGGGTGGAGGAGCTGTGTCACCACGCCAAGATAGAGGCTGCGGTAGCCGAGGGAGCCAAGAATGTCATGAAACTTCTGGGCTCTGGAAAAGTCACAGAAAAGAGGGCACATTCAGAGGTAGGCTGTGTAAAACTGGACAACAAGTCAAAATCTGTCACTTTTGAGATCACGGAATCTTAGACTTGAGATGAAATGGATCTCTGGACTGCTGTAGTAAAATAATTTCCTTTCAATCTGTCTTAATTCGCTGCCTTATCCTCTTCCTTTCCTTCAGGCCCAGGCTCGTTTCAATGAGTCCAGTCAAAAGCTCGACCTTTTGCGATATTCCTTGGAGCAACGCCTCGCTGAGTTGCCTAAAAACCATCCTCGCAGCAACAGCATCATAGAAGAGCTGTCCCTGCTGTCGTCACCAGCCCTCAGTCCCAGATCCAGTATCATCTTCCCACAGTACAGCACCGTGACCAAGCCTGCAGCACTCACAGGTAACTGGACTATTGAGCTGTTCCTAATCACTAACAGTGCAAATAGGACTCAGTTTCTAAAGGTGGCCTATTGTTTTTTTGTTTGTTTTTGTTTGTTTTTGTTTGTTTCTTTACCCTTTAATTTAAAGTTTTATCCACTTTTAAGTATACTGAGCTGATCTGTGTGGACTGGTTTTTATTTTTGGTTGTAATACAGTGTGTACTTTTTGCTGTTGAATCAAAAAAAGAAGATGGATTATTAGCCAATCAGATCTGGTTGGTTGGTTGATGTTTTGTTTTTCCCCCCTAGTTATTTGGAGGTGCACAAATTATAGTCCAGTTTAGGAGCAGACAGTAAACTGGGCTAGCTCATTATACCAGTACATGGTGTCACTTGAAGTGGGAACAAACTTGTACAGGAGCAATTGCATAACATGTGTGTCCTGTCCTCGCTCACCTCCAGGCACATTAGATGTCAGGCTAATGGGCTGTCAGGATCTACTGGAAAATGTCCCAGGTCGTTCCAAAGCTGCATCTGTCCCGCTGCCTGGCTGGAGCCCCAGCGAGACCCGCTCGTCCTTCATCAGCCGAGCAAACCGAAACCGTGGCGTGAGCTCAAGGAACTTAACCAAGAGCGAGGAACTCTCCAGTAAGTACATCTGATCTCGTACACAAAATATTTACCGAAAGATGAACTGTGATATTGTGCTGATTCACAAACAAATGATCTGTTTACTTAAAGTGTGGGCATGACCCAGAGCAAATCGCACCTGAAACTGTAATATGGGTGAAGTGAAGCAACTGCCTGTTTAATACCAACTGGGATAGAATTGGGGTTTTGTTAATAGCTCAGTGCTTTTTCCTCAGATGAGATCAGTGCAGTGTTGAAGCTGGACAACACAGTGGTAGGACAGACGAGCTGGAAACCAGTCAGCAATCAGGCGTGGGACCAGAAGTTTACATTGGAGCTGGACCGGGTAACACACACATTCCCACCCTTGAACTACACCTGCGTTGTTGACTCTGTGTTTATACAGCACGGACGCTGAGTTTCACATCTTTGCGTTGCAGTCCCGGGAGCTGGAGATCGCTGTGTACTGGCGGGACTGGCGTTCACTCTGTGCTGTCAAGTTTCTGCGGCTGGAGGACTTCCTGGACAACCAACGTCATGGAATGTGTCTGTACCTGGAGCCACAGGGAATGCTGTTTGCTGAGGTATACAAACACCATTTCAGTTTAATTCCATAAAAGGGGGATAAGTAGTCAATCTAAAAATTTAAAAAAAGTAATTTAAGTAGTAAATTAGCTTTGACTGGTCACAATTAAACATTATCTGGTAGGGCATGTATGGATAGACATACTTACTTATACTTATAGTAAATAAAATTGGAAACATGGTGAAGTGTGTCAGTTGGTGATCTTTTTGTTTATAAAAGCTCACTTTTAAACTTGAAAAAAATTGTAAATTATAAGACATGAATACTCTGAGAAGACCTTGACTGGAATCTTGGTGAAGTCTGTCCACAGAAGAATATTTCAAACGTATTATGGAGATGTCCAACTCCATGGTTTTTGTTTTTTCATTGTCTTTATTAGAGCAGTTTCATCACTGGGTTCATCCACTGTCTGAAACAAGCTCCAAAACAAGTTTTTAGCTTCTCTGCCTTTAAGCCAGCTTTCTTCTGATTGGCTGCCCCTTTTAAAGAGAAGGTTTAAGCAGCAGGTGGGTGGGGCTTCTGCACTCAGTCAGCTGTTATTGAGGGTATCCCATCTCTTCGATATCAAACAGATCCAGGAGTACAAAAAACTTGCCAATAAAATGATATCTGGAGCAGCCTGAAGGTTGAGTTCTGAAATAACAACGTGACGTAAACTAAGTGTGATTGTTAAGCTTTTGTTGCAAGACGGGGTTTAAATAATCTCTCACAGATAAAAACAAACTAATGACAGTCACTTTCCTCAAACAGTGTCTGCATCAGAAGTGTAGTTTAAAAGATGTTGTGTGTAAAATTACTCATGCATAAAACTTAAAATAAAATCAGAAGGTTTTACTGTTGGATGTAAGATTGTAAGATTGGATGTGGAGCTTTTTCAGTGTGATCTAATCCTGACAGAAATCTGTAAAGTGTTACGGGTGTGCATGATTTGGCACACTTTTGTGTTAGTTTCTAGTCTTGCGACAGCATGTCCTATGCTTGTGCATAACTACAGACATGTGTATTTGCACAGGAGAAAAGAATGCACAGGAAACAGATGTTTTGTTTTGTGAAATTACTTTTTTATTTCTCTGTTTTCAGGTAACATTTTTCAACCCTGTCATAGAGAGACGACCAAAGTTGCAAAGACAAAAGAAGATTTTCTCCAAACAGCAAGGTGAGTCGTTGCTGTGAAGCCATCACGTTCTTATTTCTAAGGCAGCAGTGATGGATTCTTGGTTGACCTGCGTGTTTAAATATATTCAATGATTCTCCAGTGTTTATACATTTACTAAGTACTGTATGTAATTTCCTCGGATCCCTTACTTATTTGGTTGCATATTCCTGATTCTCTTCTTCCATTATTCATTTTTTCCTTATAGTCTTTTTCCTGTCTTTTACTCTTTGTCAGGTAAAACTTTTCTGCGAGCCCCTCAGATGAACATCAACATTGCCACCTGGGGCCGTCTGGTAAGAAGAGCCATACCAACCGTCAGCACAAACTCCTTCAGCCCACAGGCAGCTGAGACTGGATCCAGCAGCCTGCCTGGTTCACCCACACCCAGCAGGTACACAGCCATACAGCAACCACAGACTGGATAGAAAAGATGTGTATAGCCACTGTGACATCTGCAGTTTTATTTTTCATCTCTGCCTTCTTGTAGGGTGCTAAGTAATTAACTAATGCTAGCAAACTTGTTTAGCATCTGCATAGCTCCATAAAGTGTATGGCTGCATTGCAAAGATTTTTACTCACCAGAACTTCTCGGATAGGCTGTACCACACCAACAGGTCATGTGATCAGTCGGATGATTACATTAAAACATGTAAACGTGCATTTTAATGCTGTAGTGTTTGCCATTTTTACATGGGTGTCTATGGGCACAGCTGCTCGGTAAGAAGAACTTTCACCACTGCTGTACTTCTGTCCCTTACACAGCGACCCGCTGGTGACCAAGCTGGACTTCGACAAAGAGCCCACTCCAGGGCCCAAACGTTACTCCATACCCGATGACATCCGAGAACCACAAGTGCATCACAGCGTTTCTGACAAGGGGGAAGTACAGGTATGGTTTTGTTTAAGGAATTACAAGAAGTGGTGATAAGACGCATGCGAGCTGATACAATCACAGATGCAGTCATGCTGAGCTCTCTGAGAATCTCCTGTGGGTAAAAGTCCACCATGCTGGGCCTCATTCCTGTCAGCTGGAGGGAAGTGTGTTGTTGCCAAACAAGTGAAATTTAATTTAAAAAAAAAATTAAAAAAGGAAGGAAATATTAGATTGTTACGCACTGAGAGAAATGATTTTTGAATTATGTTTTGTTAGTTAGATTCTTTAATAGAAAACCTTTGTTTCTCCAACGTTAGTTTTCATCTACAGAGAAACACTAAAGACTAAATTTAAAGTCACAACAAATAGGTGACCGGCACTGTTTTCATATTTACCCTGTGTGTCTCTTTCTGTCCTTCTGTTCTCCTGTGTTTCCTCTCCGCAGGATGCACTCGCCTCATTTGACTTCCTCAACAAGAGAATCAGCACGGTGATGAAGCCAGATATGGATGGAGTGGTGCACCATGAGTTCCAGCATCCTGACCTGGAGCTTACAGCCATTCAGAAAGACACAGAGATAAGGTAAGGAGGGTCACTGCTTGCCATGTATATGCTACTTTAAAGCGTTGAATTGATGACTGTTACTGTTTTTGTTTCAAATAAAAACTACTTACTACTCAAAACAAATTACACTGGGTTAAACACTGCCCCCTGGCTTTGGCTCCATGTCACTGAATTTTCATGGTGGTGTCTCTTTCCTTGTTTTGTTTTGTTTTGTTGCTAACTTTAAAGTTTAATGCAGGTTGGTTTGGAGTGAGTGAGTACACTGATGTATGCACTGGTCTCCTTCTAGGGAAGAAGAGCCGTTCCAATTTAGTCTCCAAGACTTTAAATGCGTGGCAGTCCTTGGACGTGGTCACTTTGGAAAGGTACTTTGAATAAAAATGCTGCTGATGATTATCTTCTTGACATTTCTACTATATTAAGAATATGTTTAGTCAATTTAAAAAAAAAAGAAAAAAAAAAAAAGAAGAAGAAATGTTTGCAATAAATTTTCTGTGGGCTGAATAACTTTTAGTAGCCAAATCAAGCAGGCAAAAAACTGAAGTGTTCATTTCCTCCACAGGTGCTTTTAGCAGAATACAAAAGCACTGGAGAGATGTTTGCCATCAAAGCTCTAAAGAAAGGAGACATTGTGGCTCGCGATGAGGTCGACAGGTACTCACTTAAAGCTCTTTCACAAACCCCCCACTGTCAGGTCACTTCGGTGTAATGTGGTGACTCAGCTTCCTCCTCTCTTTTCCAGTCTGATGTGCGAGAAGAGGATCTTTGAAACGGTCAACAGCGTCCGTCACCCGTTCCTGGTCAACCTGTTTGCGTGTTTCCAGACGCAGGAGCACGTTTGCTTTGTGATGGAGTACGCGGCTGGAGGCGACCTGATGATGCACATCCACGCTGATGTTTTCTCTGAGCCCAGGGCTGTGTGAGTGTCTTGTTAACGTGTGGGCAGGACCACAAACTCTCACAGCGGCACGTCGTCTAAATCTCCTGTGTTTTTGTACCTTTTTGCAGGTTTTATGCAGCCTGCGTTGTTTTGGGATTACAGTTTTTACATGACCATAAGATTGTGTACAGGTAAGGCCTGAGAAATTTACAGTAATACTTCAGTTCAAAGTCAGGGTCCCGAAAGTTATTTTTGCTCTCATTGCAATTTTCAGAGATTTGAAGCTAGATAACCTGCTCCTGGATACAGAGGGCTATGTAAAGATTGCTGACTTTGGGCTTTGCAAAGAAGGTAAATGGATGATGATGTCAAATTGAAACTTTGAGAGTTATTGAAAGCATAACCCTGTGGTAGATTGTTCACTCCTGTGCTGTAAGATCTTCAGAGAAGCAGAGTTATGAACTTGCTCCATCAGTTGTTGGAGGTACACATGTAGATTTGTTTTGGAGTGATGGACGTGCTCTGTGCTGCCTTCAGGAATGGGTTTCAGGGATCGCACCAGCACGTTTTGTGGCACACCAGAGTTTTTAGCTCCCGAGGTTTTAACTGAAACGTCGTACACCCGCGCCGTGGACTGGTGGGGCCTGGGCGTCCTCATCTTTGAGATGCTGGTTGGAGAGGTGAGCATGTGTTTCGTCAAGATGTCAAGAATCAATCATTTATTTCTTGAATATGTTCTTTACATCAGGTTTTTTTCTTTTCTTCTTGGCACGTCTCTCTTTCAGTCACCCTTCCCCGGCGACGACGAAGAGGAGGTATTTGACAGTATTGTCAACGATGAAGTCCGCTATCCACGGTTCCTCTCAACTGAGGCCATCTCCATCATGAGGAGGGTGTGTAGACAGACAAGAAATGGTCTCTTTGTGCTCCTGGGTGTAAACTTTAACATTATATTTTTTGTCTTTGTGCTCAGCTTTTGAGGAGGAGCCCAGAAAGACGGCTGGGAGCAGGAGAAAAGGATGCAGAGGAGGTTAAGAAACATCTCTTCTTCAGGGTAAGAGGCAAAGAGAAAGTTATCACTGTGGTAATCAAAGAAAAGAACGCTGTTGTTACCCACTCGCTCTTTCTGTCTTTATTGATAGACCATCGATTGGACCGGGCTTTTGGCCAAGAAGGTGAAGCCGCCGTTCGTCCCGACCATCCTGGGCTCCAGTGACGTCAGCAACTTCGACGATGAATTTACCTCAGAGGCTCCAATCTTAACTCCGCCCAGGGAACCCCGAGTGCTGAACTCCGAGGAGCAGAACCTGTTCTCTGACTTTGATTACATCGCTGACTGGTGTTAGCTTCGCCTGAAACACACACTCACACTCTCACTCACACACTCACGCACATACACACACACACTGTGAACCAGCAAGCACAGCAATGACTGTAGATCCCATTTTTTTGTTTGTTTTTTAAATCCTTAAACAAGAACAGACAAACTCTTCCCTGCCCCTCATGTTTGGGGAGGAGCTTTCGGGCAGAACTGTGTGCCATTGAGAAGAAAGTCCAGATGCCTCCTGAGGACACACACTTACTACTTCTTTTTTTTTTTATATCCACATGAAGAACTTTTTTCTTTTCTTTTTTTTTTTTTAAAGGAGAGGGGGAAAAGAATGAATTCTGTTGTTGGAGAGTGAAGCAGGCGGGATGTCCTCCTGTACAGACTGCCATCGTGTCCGTTGTCTGACCACTGAGAATGTTTTCCACATGAACTCTGAGAAAACGGCAACATCACAGTCATGCTATTTAGAGTCACTGTTTTCAATTTTTTTTTTGATCTGTACAGATAATATTCAGTCGTATATTTTATTGTTTTGTTTTGGTTTGGTTTTTTCGTTAGTCTCGAAGCCCTCGCCGTACCTTATCTCACTGTAAAGTTCTGCAGCAATCGCATCTGAAAGTGGCGCTCATTGAATTTGAAGTGCTTAAAGCATCGTCACTGAATAGTTAACAACAACAAAACATCTTGACGACGACTACTACTACTGCTTCTTGACTTGAAAACGAGTAAGAGTATTCACTACATATTCTTTTGGGTCTAGCGGTCCAGTTTACCTCCTTTTCCTCCCAGCGTGTCCACCTGAAGCTTCCATGTCTTACACACCGCCCAAACTGGTAAATGAATTACTGTTTATTTTGAGCCGAGTTCATTAAAATGCCCTTTGGCTAAGGGGAAAAAAATGATGAAAAACACTAAAATTATCTTCTGTCTGGTGCCCTCTAGTGGCCTCGCTGCTTTTGACCAGCTGTGGAGTTGATACAGTATCCAGTCGAGCATCACGATCAAACCGTAACATCATATGACCTTTGTTTTTGCTCTTTGATTCCTTCATGTCCTTACAGAACAACCATGTGTGTTGGACTTGACTTTTTTTTTTTTCTTTTACCTCAGTAAAGACACTAAAGCGTCTCGCCCAGTTACAGCTACCGAAACCAAACTCATCCTGTCCTCCCTGGAGTAGCAGAGGAGCGGCTCTCTGTAGTTTAAACAATCTGACACACTGAAAGTTTACATAAAGGCAGATTTAAAGAGGTGGTTTTGTGCAGAAGTCGGTGTCCTCAGCTGTTGCTTTGGAAATGAGGCTACAAAGCTCATAGTAACTTTAGGTCTCCATCCAGAAGCCATTTGAAAGCTTCCTGTTGTTCAGGTTACATGTTGTAGCTGACATAGGGGGCACGGCACTCTGTTAGTGTGGCTGTTCTGTATAAACTGACTCAAATGTTGCAGAGCTGTTTATGAATCACTACAGGGGGAGGGCAGGGTATATTTTATATAAATATATATACATACTGTATGTACACAATTAAGCTGAAAGCACTAATTTTATCAATAGTTTTTAATTATCAACGTTTCTTAATGAAAATAGATTGTACAAAGTGTTTGTTTTTTTTATTCTTTTGCTTGTGCATGTTGTTGCCAGAACAGATGAACTTTATGGATGGTACACCAAGTACTCACAGCAGTTGCTCTTCATCCTCCGGTGTAAAAAAACAAAGAAAATCAAAGGCATTGTTGCAGTCATTGTTTGTTGCCCATCACGAATGCACAAATTAAACATTTGTAACAGTGACTGTGTTTCTGGGTTTTCCATCATCTCTGGAAGTTTGAGGTCATCTCCACATACACAGAAAATTTAGTTTTATCCAAACACTGACCTGGTTTAAAGAGAAATTTTATTTTTATTTAAATTACCCAGAACAATTCAAACACACTAACAAAATAGAAACTGGTAATTTTCTACAAAAAAACAAGTTTTTTTTGTGTACAGTATGAAATCAGCCTAAAATTGCAAGTATCAGTTACATTTCCCACTTGGACATATATACATTGTACAGTATATACACTCAAATGAAATACTGCAAGTACAGTCTGCAAGCTGTTTATTTAAGTACTGGAATGTGTGTCTGTTGCACCTGTCAGACTTTGGTGTCGTCTAAGGCAGGACAAGAGAAATCTTCCAAAACCAACACGCATCATTAAAAAAAGAAAAAACAGCAATAATAATGGTGATGATCTTGTAGGTACAGCAGAAATTGTTGTGCTGTACGAGAGGAGTGTTCTTCACAGTTGGGGCAGTTTATCAACAGGTGTATCAAATTTGAAGTCTGGGGGGAAAAGCTCTGCAGCCCGTGGGTAGATGAGTCGATACGACTGTCTGATGGTCACATCTGCAACACCAGCGATGTCTCCGATTTCTGTGGAAGAGCATGACAGACAATTCAGCCATTACTATAAGTATATGAGGAATGGTGCCAGTGCATTTTTCTTAACAGCTTTCTTGACAGTAAATACAGACCTTTAACACTCCTCTGACATTAACATCAGTACAAAAACTGCACCAGGAGCTTCATAAAAACGGCTTATGGCCGAGTGGCCTGGAACTAGGTTGACTGGTCGTTTCGCACATGGACTAAAACCTGTGATCAGTGTTTTTAAAGCGGTTAAAAGTTCTAACTTTGAACAGAAACGAGCATTGTATATATGATGAAAAAAAATAGGGGCTTTTCTGACAGACTGCTAGTAAAGAAACAACTTAAAACTGTTTCTTTCTCCAAAAATGGTACAAGGTCTGGACTGAGGAGGAGTTAAAAAGCAGCCAATGCCCAAAAAAAACATTGAAAGGCCTTCAGAAAGTCTAGAGACCTGTGGATCAAGACTTAAAAATGGCGTGAAAAGTCTACCTGTTGTCTAACTCCAGTCCATAATCTCTTACCTTTCTGGGTCTTCTTCTCTGCTGAAGCTTGGGAAGCCATGTAGATGGCAGCTGCAGCTACAGAGATGGGGCTCCTGCCAGGCACCAAGTCGAGCTCCACGGCCTTCCTGGCGATGAAGGTGGCTGCCATTTGCACCTGTTTGGGTAAGCCGAGGTTGGAGCAGAAGCGGGACATGAAGTCCCCAGTGGTGATGAGGTCTACGCTGGTCTCCAGTGCTTTCAGGATCAGTTTGAAGCACCTACCGATCTCTTTCTTTGAGATCCGGGACACAGCGCAGATCTCTGCAGAGGAAAGGAGATTTTTAGGGGTGGTTGGATGGACTGAAATTACTTTTTTTTAAGGTTTTATCCTTAAGCACATCCTACACTTCTGCCTCCTGACTACTCCTGTAAATAACATTTACTGATGGCACCACATGAATAACAAACAGTCCTGTGTTGGCTTATTCCATGAAAATGTGAGTGAGCGAGCAAAAAGAAAACACATAAGTTCTTTATGTGAATACATTTTGTCCAGAACACAACACAGAGTTATATATAATCATTTAAACAAAGATAGTAAATTACTCAAAATCACACAAGACAAATTTATTCTGACCTTTAAAGGTTCGCGGCACACCCTCCTGTCTGCAGGCGATGTAGAGACAGGCTGACGCGATGGCATCATTGGCTCGGCCCTTCAGGCTCTTCTGTTCATAAACCTGCTTAAATAAGTTGTTTGTTCTGTCCTGAGGGGGAAAAACATTATTTACACTTTAATTTCAGTGTCATGGATTTTATGCTTCTGTTAGAATTTAACTGCATTTTAACAGTGTGATGTTTGTCATTACATGACCTTAAAACAGGGAAGTCATTTCATTTCAGTTTAACAAAGTTGCTGAGTCTATATTTGTGGCTCTTTTATGACCACGACCATAGCCCACGACCCTTTTGTTCCTTAAAATGAGACTATCCTCACAAGGAAAACTGCGTGACAGCTTCAGCTGAGACTTCAGTGCGAAAAACAACAACAAGAACTTTGGTAAAAAGAACAAAGGAAACAAAAACAAAAGCAGTTTTTTGCACACAAGCGGGATTTATGTTTCTTTCTGCTCTCCATTAGCACTCTGTTAACTTTTAACATCTCATTAGATTCACTTTCTATTTCACAGTCTGTCACCTGTTCACAATGACGACAAAAAGCAGATGAAGTTATCTGTGCTGAGCAACTTTCTCTGCTCTCAGTGCGACTGTTAGGCCACAGCAGAAAATATTTTTACAGGTTATTATTTTTTGTTACTTACTACGATGTTCCTCGGCAGGTTGATGCGATCCGCCATGGTGCTGATCTCTTTGAAGGCGTTGAGCATGGCCCGGTCAGAGCTGGTCATGGTTCTCCTGTTCTGGTACTTCGAGTTCCCGAATTCATCAAAGCTGGCAGCTCCTGTTCCCTGTGGAGGTAAACGGTGCACGTTTACCAGTGAAATTATTTCATGTGAAACCACAGTAACGTCAAATAAATTACAGCTAAAAATTTAATTCACTCAATATTTTTGTACCCAAACTGAGCCAGTACACTTGACTTCTTCATTCAGCCACTAAAAGTAATTTTTCTGTTCAGCAATGTCAGTAAATAAGTAATTTGCAATCGAACAATAATGTGCTTTGCGATTTTTTCTGCATTTCTTAAGTACTGTACATTCTGTTACAGTGGATGCTTATTTTAAATAGAATTAAACATTGAAAATATTTAAATGATGAAGTCCGCCTATGTGAAAGTGATCCCTGAGCCAAAAGCTCAGAACCCACACTGCTCTAATTCAATTTATGATGTCAAAATTAGGAGACATCCCCTAATATGGTCATTCAGGCTCACAGGACAGCTAATCAGAAGAAATTTTGTGTAAAGGAGAAGAGCTAATAACGTCCCGTGACATCATTTGCATGCGACACAGGTGGATGTCGAGGTGATGGTATACCTGCTGCTCGGTCTGTGGCTTTTCCTCAGACTCGGGCACCACGGTATAGTTTCTGTGTAGCCAGGTTTAGCAGGGTTTCAAAAATAGTGGTTTTAATTTTCCTGATGGAGATGCTTTCATGTCTCATCGAGTAATGCCGCTGACTAGCTATTTGTCGGCATACAGTCTGCTGACATCACATTTTTGGATCGCCTTGGATTGTCCAGTCAAATAGGAACTAAAAAAGTACCTCCTACCAGGTACAATTATTTAGTCTCAGGAAAACCTTAAAAACCGTGTCTAGCTGTGCCAAGGCAACCCGAGCACATACTAATAGAAAAGCTACTCTAGCAGCCATCTTTAATAGGGTGAAAACAAAAGGTTGGCTTTTTATTTCAAACAGTGTCTCACCTTGCTGATCATGGTGGTTAAGTCCCCTCCATTGAGTAATGTGTTCTGGGCGTCTCCCACTCTGGATGGGTCCTTGAGGGCTTTCTCATTAGAAAACGTTCTCCACTCTGAGCCCACATCGATTACACGATCACCTGAACATATGATTTGGATAACTGAAGAAAGATTCATTTAATACAACATTTACTATTCAAACTATCAATAGATCAAGATCAAGTTCTTGAGCTGCAACATTTCACTGTATTACAGCTTGGACTGAACGAGGCGTTTCTGATGAAGCTCCAGCTTTTAAATTGTTGCTGATTATATAATTTTCTGCAAACTGATGCCAGAAATTAAAATGCTTACGATTTAAAGTTTACTTTCAACTTGACTACCTAACACTCGCAACTTAATCTTCAGCTGCTTGTTTATCTGTTTTGAATTCACATCCACTGCTCTGAAAAGGGTTACTCTCTGATAGATATAACTGACACAACAGAAGGTTTTCAGGGATTCACCAACACTCGAAAAGCTTTGATGGCTGCTGCTGTTCCTTGTGCCTGGTAATATTTCATCCCTCTGAAATAAGTTACCAGAAGATGGTGCAATAATATAAGCAAATTCACTCAAAGACATGCTCAGAATTTAAGTTTCAAACACTGCTGCTACTATGTCAGTCCTCCTCTATTGTCTTTCCTTGGCTCTTCCACTACATGTTCTCCTACTACGCTCCATTACTACTACTGCGGTTTTGAATATGGCTCAATTATTTTACACCAAAAAGGAAAAGATAGGGGTGTGACATCAGCAATGAGGCAAACTGTCTGAACAAGGCCATTGCATTCTTCAAGTTATTATGACTGTCTCTTCCAGGAACTGTGGACTGGGGTTGAAGATTAGATTTGATATTTTAATCCTGTTTTTCTTGCCATCCATCAGTACTCCTAATATCTTGAGGCAAAGTGACATTCATCTCCTTAGAGGCTAACCAAAGCTATGGAAACGGGAACAGAGGGCACTTAAGCTTGCATTTAAGCGCGGCGGGCGTCTCTATTCTCTCGGCTAACCTGCTCTGTCCTGAAGGGGCTCATTAGAGGAGAGCTCGTTGCTCCCTAAAGCTTTGTCTAATAGCAAGCATCAAGCTTTTTGCCTCTCATACTATATCTTAACCTTTACACAAAATACATTCCCTACTTCCTACTATCCACAAGACAAAAACCTGTCATGTCGCCTGACATCTATGGATAATTTTAAACAAAATATTTAATTTACTTATACACTTTTGGAAAATGTGGCCTTGCATAGCTTGGAATTGAACTATGATGACAAAGCAAATGAGTTCAGGAAGATGTGTGCTGCAAAAAAACCCCCAGTTCAGTTCAGTTGAGATAACAAGTACAGGAAACCAAATACAGGATGTGTTCAGTGGAAGCTCGATCTAAAGCCATGTATACTTGCCTACTACAAGGCCACATTCAGGGCAGATCATGTCCCCTGCTCTGTAGTCCTCCACCAGACAGGCATCAG